AGAAAAGAAATATTTATATGATATTACTGTAGTTTAAATTTTGATACTAATTAAGGTATTAAATACATTAACAAATTAATTTATAAAATCAGGTGCTATTAGTTTTAGAATATAGTAAGGCGGTAAAAGATACCTAATTGTCCAAACCAAAAAGAAAAAATGGTATCAACTTATTGCGTAAATTATGCACACTAATGCTCAATGGTAAATTATGCGCATAATTTACAATTGAGCATTAGTGCATATAAATAGGAGAAAAGGTGCTATCTAGCCTATCTATAAGTAGTTAAATACATTCATTGTTAGAAACTTAGGATCGGTTTACTTGGCGGAGATTTCTTCCTTTTTTTTTTTTTTTTTGGGTTTCCCGCTCAGTATTCGAGGTTTCGTCCTGACTAATCCGGACCCGACCCACGTCGCGTACCTGGAAATGGTGCGATTAAAATATTTTAATTAATTTTTATGTAACTTAAAATTAATTTTTAAACAATTTTAAATACGTACTCTTACATTAGCCTAATGCATAAGAAATTAATTTTTTTAGATGTTGGTCCTAACTTAAATTTTAAATTTGATTTATAAGATAATACTTATTTATTAATGAATCTAATTCTTGAGATTAGAAAATGATCTCATGTTGCAAATTATTTTTTGTTGTTTGAAATATTTTTAAAAAAATTTTGAGAAAAATATTTTCTATTCTTTGATAGGTAAGAAAAATGCAGCCACGAGGGTGCTGCTCTGGAATAAAAGAGGCTAGATTTCCTCCACCACAGAGGCCATATGGAACACTATGGAAATTAATGAGACTTATTTACGTTGCTCAATAAAGTAAGAGGGCTTAAATTTGCAAATTTTGATACATGTGGCAATACCAGCAAGTTCGCATGGCGGAGATTTCGGATCGAATGACCCTTTTGTTTTTGAATAAATTAATTTTCAGATCGAAGTCATTTTTTGAAAAATCAAATATATCTTTTCCCTTGATCAAATGACCCTTGTGTTTTTGAATAAATTAATTTTCAGATCTTAAATCCGTAATTCATTTTTTGAAATTTCAAATATATCTTTTCCCTTAATCAAAGCTTGTTTTCATAAATTTATTTTTTAAAGGGTGTTTAAATAGTAAAAAATACTCATTGGATGTGTCAGAATAAATCTCCGAAAGCCCCTCAAGATTCAAAAAAATATTGATAGAGTTAGTTATTTTATATTACAAGTATTTTAAATTTAGATTTTAAGTTGTGTTTAAAATTACTATAAATGTTGTGATTGTGATTTTTTAATATTTTATTATAGAAATTATATTATTATTTAATAACTATTTTAAAAAAATTTATATATTAATATAACTATTAAATTATACAAAATATTAATTAAAATTAAGTTAATCATAATAAATTAATATTTTTATAAAGTATTTATTTTAATAAATTACAATTAAATCTATTCTACTAATAGAGAATGAGGAAAAATGATCACCCGAGACTCAAACTTTCAATCCGAGAGATGTATCAAGTGATAAATTACTTGGTCCATGTGTGAAGAACATGTATTATTATAAAAAATTATTGTGAAAAATTAATCCTAAACACTACCTCAATCTCAAATAATTTTATATTAATGAAACATTTTAAAATTTTGAAAAATTATATTGAAAATGGAATTGATTTGAAATATGTTTTTGTTTAACTTAATAGAAAATCTCAAACTTTGAATTCCAGTGCATGACTAGATGGAAGAAAACAGAATTCAACTTCAAGAGATCAACTTGTCAAAGGAAAAAAAAACATGGAAAATTTCAACAACTTGTTCTCCAAGACTCCAAGTCTACCCAAAACAGAGGGCGCCCTTCCCATATAAGATAGTTTTGGTGCCCTTTTTTTATAAAATAAAGTTATTTTATAAAATTTTAAAGATTCAATTTTATATTAATTTATTGTATTTAAAATAGATAAAGATTAACAATTATATGTTAATTTGAGTAAAAAAAATTAATTTTACTTAAATAAAATTTCAAATTTAATACTGACTTTTAAGTCTTGGTATAGTTTAGGAAAGAAACTTAAAACTTTTATTTTTTTACATTATAAAATAATTGTAATCGTTCTCATCTTGTATTGAAGGGCGGCTTTCCTTGGGCTCCTATATAAACAGAGCGTAGGAAGAAGAAACAAACAGCAAGTTGGGAAAACAGGACAGACAGAACGAGAAAACAGAGACACGAGAAAGAAAGAAATCCAGCAACAAGTTGTCGTTGCAACCCAGGTCCATTCTAATTTCTAAATTCACATTTCCTCTTTATTCTCTTTCGCTTTATTCTCGTAAACATTCAATTCTTATGTATTATAAAAAAAAAATTATAAACAATAATATTTATCAATTGTCTACTTTATTTGAATTGTAAATACAAGACCCATAACAACGGGAAGATGCATATATAGACGTAGGGATAAGGGGGAAGATTATTAACACTATGTTTCCTTTCTTCTACTGGTGCGATTTCTCTAGTTCATATGCTTAAAAAGTTACTAGAAATTAGTTTTATTGTTCATATTGTCAATTGATTCTGTTTTGATTTGGTTTAAAACGTCTTAATTTGTGTTATCACGGAATATAATATATTTTTGAAATCATAAATAAAGTACTTCTTACACTTTTTATTATAATAAAACTTTAATTCATCTAAAAAAAAGACATAGGGATGGTAACGTCTAGTTAATCTAAGACATGAGATACTCTCCGGTACTGAGAACTTTATAAATTGAGATGCCATCAAGTGGGAAGAAGTTAGTGGAGGGCTACCATTGTTCTTAGTCTTTTTATTCTTTCTATTATTATTATTTTTTTATTCACAATCGATATACTATTTGTCTTGTGTATATCTATTTGTGATGGCTGCGACAACACTGCCTAACATTGTAGGCGTCAACAACCACGTACGAATTTGATTTATAACAATTAGTATAATTAATAGATTGTTTAATTTGCATTAATAATTTTAGGTAAATTGGTAATGTGTAACAAAAATTTTGATTTATATTAAAGTTTAAATTCTTTTAGAAACAATTATAATATTTTCTCCATTTCTTAAAAATTCCTCTTATTCAAAAAAAAATAATAATAATTTGAGAGAAGAGAGGAGAAATGATGGTTGTTTTATTATTTTTTAAATATTTTACTCTAATAAAATAAGAGGATGGGAGAGAAATGAAAGGAACTTAAGATTCTTCCATTCTGGTCCCTTTGTTTCTTAATTCTCTAAAAATTCAAACTCTTTTAAATGTCTTGAAATACATTTTCATTTTTATGAACTAAAATAAATTTTGTTTATTAACATTTGCCCAAATAGATAAGTTAAAGATACCTTTTAATGAAATTCAAAGCTGCAAATTTCTTATAGGCTATCCATTTTTTTTTTTAATGGACCTAACCCGACCCAACATGAATTAATTTATTTAACAATTCAATTTGAAAATGAATTTTCAAGTTTTAAAATTTTTAATTGTTTTTGGTTTAAAGGAGAAAGGAATTCACTTCATTTATCAAAAGAAATTTAATAAAAATGCTATAATTATAATATTAGGTATTATTATAAATTTATTGGTATATCAATATATAATTAGTTATTTTTATTTATAGGTTCTCTCATGATATTATATGCATCATTTTATTTAATATCATGTTATATTTATTTAATATTATATAAAATTATAAATTTAAAATCATATGTGATATTGTAAATATAGTATTATCAATCAATTTAATATAAACTTCATTTGCAAATTCCATCAAGTTTGATAAAATTTGATTTAGCTTAGCTCAAATCCATGATTTGTAATTTCAGAATTGAATTCTATCGTTTTAGATTAAACAAAACATTAATACTATGGAATCTAACCTTTTGAGTCAAGTGGCTCTAGCCACGCTTGTAAGTTTAATATCCCTTCTCTGGCGCAACGATTCAAGCCGGCCAATGACAAAATGTTCCAAAAAAAAAAAAAAATTAACACTATGGATTTCAATTGAATTAATAGATTGTTGGTAATTTCTTTTTATTATTTGATATATATATATATATATATATATGGAATATGTGATCGATTAGGGTTCTGGCACAAGGAACTGTTCACTCCGCGTTAGTTTAGTTGAATTGAGCATCCTGTCACACACCGGCCGGCATCTTGATTCCGATCCGATCATGTCAGGCGAATCCGAGCAGTCTCTTCCTTTGGAAGAGCAACAGGTCAGCAAGAAAGCCGCAAAGAAGCAAGCCGCCAAGGAAGAGAAGATGCGCCGCCGCCAGGAGCACGCTCTCAGCTCATCCGCCGCTTCGCTCTCCATTGATGAGGAGGACCCGCACAGTCATAACTACGGCGATGTTCCTCTCCTGGAGCTCAAATCTTGTTCCGATCCCGATGCGGGAAACTGGAGTCGGGCCATCAACGGGAAGGAATGGACTGAAGTTTTCGCATTGACGGACAAGTTGAAGGACACGGAGGTTCTCATTCGCGGACGAGTTTATACGACTCGGCCCGTCAGCAAGAAAATGGCGTTTTTAGTGGTGAGGGAAAAGGGATTCACGGTCCAGTGTTTGGCCACCATTAACACCGAGGGAATCAGCACTCAGATGGTCAAGTTTGTTGCTGGGTTGAACCGCGAGTCCATTGTGGACATGATTGGTGTTGTATCAGTACCTGAAAAACCCATCACCAGCACTACGCAGCAGGTAGATATTCTAAACTCCGCTTCCTAGCATCCCTGATTGGAGCTTTTGGTAGCCTGTAAGATGTGATTTGTTTAAAATTCCAATTTACAAGATGATTGATTTCCTCTTTTAGGTTGAAATTCAATTGAAGAAAGTATACTGTGTTAACAAAGCTTTGCCAAACCTGCCTATTAACATCGAGGACGCTGCTCGAAGTGAGGTTGAAATTGAAAAGGCTTTGCAGGTATGTTCCTTCATTATTAATAAACACTATAATTGACACTCACTCGGCCCGGTTTCGAAATCTTTGTAATTTTCTTTAATTGCTGCTTATTCCTGCATTTTTGAAATGAGATTGTATGTTTCCATTAACTCTATTCAATATTGTTACTAATAATATAAACTTGCAGGCAGGAGAGCAACTTGTTCGTGTCAATCAGGACACACGTTTGAACTTTAGAGTTCTTGACTTTCGAACACCTGCTAATCAAGGGATTTTCCGCATTCAGAGTCAAGTTGGGAGAGTGAGTTTCTCAATTTTTGTGTTTTTTAGTCGTCCTTTTCTGCGTTATTGTTTACCACAATACAATATCAGTACTGCCTTTTTTTCTATCATTTTTAACACATATTATGACTTTAAGTTGTAGATAACGTTATATACTTAAAAAAGGAAAAGGAAAAAATGGAAAAACTTCGAATTGTCGGTTGCATCAGTGATGGTACATGCTATTCTTCCCTGCTTTCTATTTTAGTGGTCTTTGAACATTGTCAATTTAGTGGACATGTTCAGAAATATTTCTCCAAGCTATCACGTTGTTTGAATAGGCAAATGTCAATGGCTTGAATTGAATGCATGTGAGCTGATTTTTGGTATCATCCTTTATGCAGTTTCCAGTTGTTAAACTTTCCTTTAAATTTTTGCTAAGTATACTACTTCTGTTCTTTATGACTAAAATTTGTGCAGATATTTAGAGACTTCTTGTATTCTGAGGGTTTTGTTGAAATCCACACCCCCAAACTGATAGCAGGCTCTAGTGAAGGTGGTTCTGCTGTTTTTAAGCTTGACTACAAAGGACAACCAGCTTGCCTGGCTCAGTCTCCTCAACTTCACAAGCAAATGTCAATTTGTGGTGACTTTGGACGGGTTTTCGAGATTGGTCCTGTTTTCAGAGCAGAGGACTCCTATACACATAGGCATTTGTGTGAATTTACTGGTCTTGATGTTGAAATGGAGATTAAGAAACACTACTCTGAGGTACAACTGATTGTTGGTCAATTGTCATGACTCATAAGTGTCTTAACTATGTTACAGTTTTCATTTTGTTGAGGACTTGGGCTTCTTTGTTTAGGTGATGGACATTGTGGACCGGTTATTTGTTGCAATGTTTGATAGTTTGAATGAGAATTGCAAGAAGGAGCTTGAAGCTGTGGGGAGGCAGTATCCTTTTGAACCTTTGAAGGTAATTATTCATCTTTGAGTACTAAAATGCCTGTGTTTCTATTAGTATAACTATAAAAAAAATTGGTTTGTAGATTTGGTTTATGAATTAGCTTTTTCTTTGCAAACTAATTAAGTTCCAGCTATGTTATGTTACTATAAATTGGAATAGGAACAAACATAAGCTTAGATTTACTGTGTCTTGATCTGTTATTACATTACCAATTTGCAGTACAAGCCACAGACTCTGCAACTTACATTTGAGGAGGGTGTTCAAATGTTGAAGGTAAGTTTGAAGCTTCCTTTTGTAATTTATCATTTCTTACATTAAATCACGCTTTACTAGATATTTTCTTAATCAAGTCTTTGCTTGAATATAGGTACTTCAAATTAATGTCTGAGCTGGTCAGAGCATGTCTAAATAATGAAAAATTGTTAGATTTAAGAATGGAAGGACAATTTTTTTTTTTTTTCTTTCAATGAGGAAGCGGCAGATCTTTAACAAGTTGGCAATGGATTAGACACCCAAGATATGTCATGGACTTTGTGCTTTATGTGAAATGGCCTCTATTTTGGGGTTACAGCTCCTTTAATTATACTTGAAATTGGTTAAAAATTGGATCTAAGAATGGAAAGAGAGTGTTGTTTTCTTGATGGTGTGGCTTTAACGGGTTGCTACACTTGGATTATACATTAATGACATGATGTGACCTAAATGGTTTATGTGAATTAGCCTTTATTCTTGGGTTTACTTCTCCTTGAATTATATCTGAATTTGGTTTTAGTTTCAATTTCTTGGGGGTTAGGGTTTGATTAACTTTAGCTGCTTCTATTCTTTGGTTTGACAAGATGTGTGATTGTTCAGGATGCTGGCGTGGAAATTGATCCTCTTGGGGATCTGAATACAGAATCAGAAAGAAAATTGGGCCAGCTAGTGTTGGAGAAGTAATTTTATCATTGATACTTTTTTTCCCCTGCTTGCCTCCCATTAAATTCAGTTTTTGTTGTTATTTAGAGATATGAACTTTTTGATTCCTTTGATTTTAGGTTTGGCACTGAATTCTATATCCTGCACCGCTATCCTTTGGCTGTAAGGCCATTTTATACAATGCCCTGCTTTGACAATCCTCTCTACAGCAACTCATTCGATGTCTTCATTCGAGGTAATTGGTGAAATTCTTTGTACTTTTTGAGCCACTTATATGAGATTTTTTTTTTTCGTTCTATATCCCAAATTCAGTGTAAATCATGCCAATTTGTAGTCATTTTCTTTAATTGAAACAATACTGTCAAAATTCTTGCATTCTTTTGGGTTTGAGATATAGATACACAAGTACATATATACACTTGGTAAATTGCAGTAGCTGTCATTCTGAAGAAAATTTGGAGCATCTTTCATTCATTGGTGGCTCTGCCATGTTGGATAGATATGTTGTTGTAGTATGAAGGCCAGAGAATAAAGATTGGGGCAATTAATTGAGTAAACAAGAGATACAGTTGACTGAAAATGTCATCAAATTAATTATCATACTCCATCAATTATGTCTGCTGCGTTTCTTCTGTATTGATCTATCTTTGCTTATGTTTGAATTTGTTATGTGTAACTTATAATGACATAAATTGATGCCTGCTTTCTGCTGTGCCCCACTCATGGTTTTAGGATCAATGTTCTCCTTTTATTTATGCTCTTGTTGATATATCTTCCTTTCCTTTTATTTGTGGAAATGCTTTTTTCTTCTTTTTGTCATTCATTTTTCAGATGTAAACAAACTTGTTATAATAGTGATTGGAACTTATCTGTCTTTTTGTCCTTCAGGTGAGGAGATAATCTCCGGAGCCCAACGTCTGCATGAGCCAGATGTCTTGACAGAACGTGCTAAGACATGTGGAATTGATGTCAATACAATCTCAACTTATATTGATTCCTTCAGGTACTCCTCATATTTCACATTTCCCCTTATTAATAATTGGTAGGTGCATTTTCATGCAACCTTGCTCTGTGGCATTCTTTGTTTTTTGATTATGTTTCTTACTGTTTTACAGATATGGTGCACCTCCACATGGTGGGTTTGGGGTAGGACTGGAGCGGGTGGTGATGCTTTTCTGCGGCCTGAATAACATCCGCAAAACTTCACTATTCCCTCGTGACCCCCTTCGAATTGCTCCGTAATATTTCCCCTTGAGAATTTCATGGAGGTCTCGAGCTATATTGTTTAAAGTTTTTCGTTTAAAATGGCATCTGTGTACATTTAACCTGAATGATTAAGTTATATCTTTCAAGTTCTTACCTTTATTTTTTGTCAACCGCTTGTTAATTCAGGCTGTGGCTCGATGTATTGTTTCTCTATAAAAAGCTAAGATGGCACTGTTTGTTTTCCCTTTCCTTTATGTCTTCTCGTTCATTGAGTTTTCATTCCTTCATGCTCTCCATGAATTCATGATCTTAAATGGGAAAAAAATACTAATACTCCTAAAATCTACACGGTAAACCAGCTAAAAACCCCAACTTCAAAATCCGATTTCACATGGTGATTGGTGGATTTGAGGTTGGATGGTAATATGCTTTTTCTCGGTCTCAAAAGTCAAAACCTCTTTCATCTTCTCGACACGCACTCACCCCAAGGAAGTCTGAAAATGCAACTCTCCTTTTCCGTTCCTGCCTTTTTTATCTTCATTTTTACAAAGTAGTTATTCAAATTAGGGCTCAACCCTTCAGTTTTTTATAATAAATGTATATAGAAAAATGTAAAAAATATATTAATTTTAATATTAAATGAATTTAACTAGATAATTAATAAATTAAATGTTGATTTTTATTTTTTTGATTTAAATTTATAATTAAAAAATATACTTAATACATTTTTAACTTACACTCTTAAGGTACAGATTAGACAAATTCATAGTTATGCTTATTAATAAAAAATAATAATAATAAAAGTTTGTCTAACTTGTATTTTTATGACACAGATTAAAAATGTATTAAATACACATTTTCATCATAAATTAGCATTGAAAAAATAAAAATTAACTTTTATTTTATCAACGGTTTAATTAAATTCTCTAACATTAAAATTAATATTAGTTTTTACATTTTTATGTATATTTATGATAAAAAAACATATTTCATTTATTTTTAACCTATATCCTTAACATGTACTCTAAAGGCACAAGATAGAAAAATCTTAATAATAATAAATTGAGCAGAATATGAAGAGTAAAGGTGTAAATAAAGATTTCAACTTTATACTTTTTTCTATTTAAGGATGTTAATTTTGTCAGTTTCTAAATAAGGATGTAAACTTTCAATTTTTTCTAAATAAAGATATTAACTTTGTCAATTTCTAAATAAAGATATCAACTTTCAACTTTTTCTATTTAAGGATGTCAACTTTCAACTTTTTCTATTTAAGGATTAATTGAATAGTGATGTTGCCGTGGCTAATATATATTTTTAGGTTAAATACCTAAATTGGTCCCTCAACTTTTGTTTTTGAACCAATTCATCCTTAAACTTCAGAAAGTACCAAAAACGTCATTTAACTTCAATTTTCAATTAATAAAATTATTTCCTAATTCATGGAAGAATTAATTAAATTTTATTTAATTTTATTAAATGGTAGGTGGGACTAATTAAATGGGAAAATATATTAATTGTTTTAATTTTT